GGAGTGTCTCGGTAACCGCAGCCGGACAGCTCAGCAGCCGGTGAGAGAGGTTTACGTCTTTTTAATGACTTGGAATCTCTGCGGCGCTGCACCCACCGCACCGCAACGGTAAGACCGGAGTCGGTGTGAGCCGGGGGTCATATAGACAGGTGTTTGCCTTTCCTAATCAAGTCCAATCAGTTTAATTAAACACAGCTGGATTCCAGTGAAGTAGCAGAACCATCTCAAGGAGGACCAGAAGAAATGGACAGTATGTGAGTTAAATAGGAGTATCAGAGCAAACAGTCTAAATACTTATCACCATTTAATATTAAAGTTTTTCTTTTTTTAATAAGTGTGCAAAAAATGTCTACATTTTTGTTTGTTTTTTCTAGATTATTCCTAGATTAGCAGACCTCGCTGCTTTTGGCCTATGGTCAATCTCCTCCGTGAGTCTGCTCTATTATAACAAGAAAAAATGAAAAAGAATGGGGAAAGCAACATTTTGAAATAAAAATTGCAGAGGAATTTAACCTGAAGCTAACTATTAACACACATATGCTTTTGTTTTGTTTTTTTCTCAGCTACTTTTATTCTTTATTTACCTGTGCAGACCTTGCATGGTGGACTATGTTCTTGGCCTCTGGTCCATCTCCTGTTCTTTCTATTATTGCAAAAAAACATAATTAAATGTTGAAAGCAAAATTTTTAGATGTAATAAGGAAGAGAATCTGTAAAAGTGTTGTGGCATTTAACATAAAAGTCACTTTAATTCCATAGATTTGTTTCATTTCCTGGCTCTCCTCTATCTGTGTAGAGCTTGAACATGATGTTTTCTAAGAAATTAAAGAGGATTAGATTAATTCCAAGAACAAAATAACCAGCTGATGCAACAGAGGTAGCAGCCATTTAAATTATAAACTAATTGAACATATTGATAGCCTATATGAGCATTTTTGATCTTGTAATCATTTAGCTACTATGTCTAATTTGCAAACAATGTTACACAACACATTATGTGTGAAAAAACTATTCCGATGCTCACGTTCAGCAATGTCTGTGTCAAACTTATGCATTGGCATGCATTTGTGCATGGTGCCTTTAAAGACAGCTCAGAAAAAGAAGTAGCTGCAAAATATTTACGGGTCTAATTGTTTAATGCTTAAATGAGAGCCATATTTAGTTTAAAAACTCCAAAGAAATACTATTAACTTAATATTTTCTGAATCTGAGGTCAATGACAGGTCCCACAGCTACTGGTCATACTTCTAACTATTTCTGAAACCAAATTTTTTAATCTTTAGGTTCAAATATACGGTAGCTTCTGGATCCTTTTCTTAAAGGGATTTATTCTTTTCATAGTGCATTGACTGCACTTAATTCACATATTAAACTGTAAATTCCTATTTATATGACATCATTCGTCCCTTGCCAGATGTTTTCTTCATTGATATCCATAAAAGTTTGTGACTAAGGCTCCTAGTAAAATGAACTGTGGTCATCTCTGGTGTGACTACATTTGAAGTAAAACAGACATTTTGAGAGCACAGGAAAGTAAAAAAAAAAAAAAGACTCTACTAAAAGTTCAAGTATGCAGACTTTAACAGATGGAACACAACAATGCAGGCTCATTGAAAGGGCCAGGTTTGAAGGTTCAGGAAATGTGGGCTCCTTTTGTGCTGAGAGAGCAGTATGTCAGCTCAAGGTTTTCCATGTTGGTTGAAGAGTGGGAGCGGAACAGTCCACCCTTACTCAAGGTTTTCCACTGTGGTGAGTCTTCAGACTTGCATGGCATCCAAAGAGTCTGTCCTCTATGTTTACGGAGACAATGAAATAGTGCTTTTTTTTTTTTTTACCGCCATTAAATTGATTGAGAAAGCAGACCTTGGGTGTTTGTCAATCTGGTAAGACGGAAGAACTTTATACTGCTTGCCTTTTAACAACTCATTCATGTTCTGTTGAAGAAAAGACACTGCTGACAAGAATGACAGGAGGCCTATTCAAAGACTTAAGTTGTCCCATTTAAAGCCTCTGTGACATGTGGAAAGAAGCTTTTCAGCTCCGTCTAACAGCCACTGTTTGTCAGTTTAATGCTGGATAAAGGGTTTTTACTACAGCCACAAAACAATGCATCGCCACATTTCCCTGTTCAAAAGCCTTACACGGTTCATTTTGACCTGGAATTTGAACTCCGTTCAGCGTTCTTTGCATATTGGTGTCTCCCTATTAAAAGTATATATACATTAAATACTGTACAAATGTTTCAGCATTGGTTTGCTGTCAGAATATGGTATTAATAGTGATGGGTTCATTGCAATGTTAAGTCATTTTCCTGTCACACTGACAAACTGTGGATTACAGAGGGTTTAGGCTGTCAGTCGAAGCAACTGTTGAATACATTAGATTTACTGGCCTGTCATATTTAATCAGTCATGCTAAATTTGATATTTGAGAATGTATAGACTTAGGAGCAGAATGTTGGAGGCATGACATTTTTTGAGGACATGCAATTACGTGTGCAATTTGTATATTAAAAAAAATCTAATGTCATATAATTTATATTCATGTTTTCTAACCTGGATCAGTTCAACTCAGCTAGAGAACATAACTTTAGGATGTAGGAAAAATAAGGTGTCTGACTTGACATTTGGAGAATCTTTGTTTCAGAAATACACGTCGGTTGTTGCGTTTGAATTTTTGGACGAGATCCATTTTATGAATAGGCAACAAAACTTTAATTTCACCACAAGCAGTAAAAGTTGATGAAGTTAGAATTGATCTATTCCAATCAATGAATAACAGACAAAACAACACAATGAACGTGTTAGAAAATAACCTTCTTGAAAGTCGTGAAACAAAACTTCATAACCCCAACAACATTCTTAGAACTATATACAGTATGATTTGTTTGCTAGTAAAAAAAAATATTATAGTAATTTTTTTTGGTAAAAAAGTCACTAAGTTTCCTCCTCTAATTCAGGTGTTAAAGCTCCCTTAGCTGGATTTTTTGCTTATTTCTCTTTAATAACCTTTACTTTGCTGACTGGTAAAAAATTAATGAGATATGAATAACAACTATATATTTAACTTGAAAATACAGAATCTTCCACGAAAAGAAAATACAATAATGTGATAAAAAATTTTAATATACAAGCAAATTTAAGGACATTTGAAAGGTTTTTAGAAATATTTGAGGTATATTTACACACTAACATTTTGGTGCCTCAAAAATAAAATGAAGAGTCACAAAAAGCTTTTAAGGTTTGGTTTATTTTAATTTGCAATGAAATTCAAGAGCAAAAATAAGATAAAGAGGAAAAAATTGTCATATTTCAAAGAGTGACTTAGGAAGGTATTCATCTCTCTTTAGTATCATTAATTTATTTTGCCAGAAAATCATTAACTTCTTTTTATTTATTTATTATTCTTATTTAAAAAAAAAAAAATTAAAAAATCATTAACTCCTGACTAATTCAGGCGGTTTAGGTAAAGAATGTTATCGTAATCTTTCAAAAGAGAAACCTGCTTAAAAAGTTTGAATGATCTTATTTTTCTGGTGCGGTTTAAAATAAGGATAAGCACAAGATATGTACATATTTTATTGCAACTTAATTATGAAATAACCTTTACATACATTATATTACAATTTTCCTATGTACAGACACATAATGTTGGATTTATTGGCATCAACAAACCGTAACATTTATACAGTAAATACAGTGCTTGAATACAAGCAACTTTAAACACCTGCTCAAGCAATTAACAATTTCATAGCATGTACCAAAAAAATAATGATTAACCTTTAGAAAACATGGAAGTAATTAGATTTTTCATACTTTTTGTTATTTTAAACCAATGAGAGACTGTTTTCATGGTTGCATAACAATTTGTGGGTTTCTTGAATAAATGTTACAAATACGTTGCTGTGTTGACTTTAACAATAATAAATGAGATAGTTTTTATTTTCAACCATTTTTTGTAGTGTCACTGAAATCTACACAGTTTGAAACAAAATACACATTTATTGTAGCATGACATGAAAGAACAGTCACTGGAAATATTTCCTGTGTCAACCTTGTTCACTTGCTATGTAAGGAAGATAACTGTAGGGTTCATAATACTGAGCTACTTAGACCAAAAAAGGAAAGAACATTAAACCCCCCACCCACTCTCCAAGATGCAATCAAAAATAACTCCTGAGCAATAAGCATTCTTTACATGTCCCATATAAAAAAGAGAGAGATAAAAAAACAAACAAATAAAAGAAAACAATTATAACATTTTTAGGGATAGCACTATCACCCTGATATTTCAATATTGCACTTTCAGGATCAGGTTTTTTTTGTTTGCGGTCTGTTGGAAATGATGGCAAGAGTTTGGTTTGATGAGAAATGCTGTTCCGTGTGTGTCCCTGTGTTGATCAGTGGAAGGTGTTGGGGTTTGGACGGATCATCATGACGACTTTCTTTAGGGAATAGGCTCCTCCCCTGAACTCTGCCCAGTAGACTCCATCTTGGTAGCGGCTGCGGTAGTGTCCTCCTCTGTACCAAACTCCATTCAGATTTGAATGTGCGCAAGAGTTGTACCACCACCCTCCCTTCTGGTAGTGAGCACAATTTCCTGAAAAAAAATAAGAGAAACAAAACAATTTTGTTTCAACTAAGTCAAATTTTTAATGCAACCATTTCAAAAGCTGATTTTTTTGTTTTTTACCTGTGTATGCATCATGATCTCTGTCCAGTGTTGTGAACTGTTTGCCGTTGTGCCAGGTAAGAGAGTCCCCAGCATTGCCGTGGTACCGGCCCACTCTGAGTTTGTAATAATCTGCTTCAGGCTCCACTCGGAAACTGGCGTACTCTGCAAACACCTTCCTCCCGGACCAGTCCTCCAGTGTGACGAGCAGCTTGTAGGTTCCCTGGTTTGTCAGCCAGTAGATGTTTTCCAGACCGAGCCAGTATTCACCGTCAATATTGCCAAATCCTTGCTGTGGAGCAAGAAAACATAATTAGAGAAACCAAGAATCATTTTCATTGAGCCTTGCAATGCATGTTTAGATGTCTACAGGGATGCTCCCGGTCCATCGCTCATGCTCTGGGGGTAGTCTTGACTCTCGGCTCTATTGTTTATCGACATGAAACATTATTATAAATGGACCCTTCAGGTCAAGTTTATGTAGAGTACAGCTATCCAAGTTTCCACAGTTATTTTGTTATTGGAAAGCAGGAGGATTCACTAAGGAGAAACTCAGCAATCTGAAAGCTTTCTAACTACTTTCATCAGGATGCCCTTGTACAGTAAAGTGGATTTGCAGTGCCTTCAATTGGGGAGGCAATCGTCTTGATGACCATTTTTTTTTTTTTATTGAAAGGTATTTTCATTTGTTCTGAATATAAATATGTTGGTGCGTTGATGAAAAATTTAATAAAGGCTATTGTAAATGGTTGATTTTGAGGTAAAATAGTTCCTAAAGGCAAGTAAAACCAAAACCAAAGAAATTGGATTATCTTCCTGGCCATTATCTTCCTCTTTAAGTCAATGAGACATATTTTTATTTTTAGATTAAAATATGTTTTTTTTTTTTCTTTTATCTTATTTCAAATGAGAAAATCTGAAGAATTAATCCTCACACTGCAAAAAATTTAAATCTAAATAAGTAATTTTTTTCTCAAAATAAGTGCATTTTTTCTTGAAGTGAGGAGATAAGTGAGACACTTTGCCAATGGAACAAGACAATTTACATTTAAAATGAGAAAAAACAACTGCATTTTCATACTTCAAACCCATATGATCTAATAATCTCATTTTAAGAGTAAAGATACTAATTCCATTGGCAAATCATCCTATTTACCAAATTAAGATTAAATACACTTTATTTAAGAAATATTTTACCTATTTTGAGACCATTTTTTTCAGTTCACAGAGCACCTTGGCTTCCTTCAACATTAGACGCTTAAAGGCTTAACAATCATCTGTTCATTAGTTGAACTTGTAAACATCTGGTTGATGTCAAAACACCTTTCAAAAGTCTCCAGCTTGTCTGCATACTACAAGCGCTTTGATTTGGTGTGAAGTTGCCGCACCTTGTACGTCTCCCAATTACGGAAAAAGTTGACAGAGCCGTCCAGCCTTCTCTGGATAACCGTCCAGCCGCCTGGGTCCTGTCTCTGATCACACCACACCTGCATGAGACGGTTGGCATTTTCTGGCTTCACTAGGTACATGCCGCTGGAAGTGTGGCCATCTTCAAGTGCCTGCAGACAGTCCCTGAAAGGACCTTATCGGGCAGATTTCAAGCAAAATATCAGCACCATGTAAAACTCCATCATTTGAAAAGCATGTTAGAGGATTAGCAAAGAAAGGAAGTGAAAGTGACACAAAGAATATTGCTCTCTTGCTTAGGGAATCCCATTTTTCAACAAAGGTTCTTGTTATAACAGGGAAATTGACTTTGGCTGCTTCTTTTGTAAGGGAAATGCCTGCTGGGCTGCACAGCCAAGAGAAACACTGGCAAAAGGGCAAAGGGAGTCCCGATTACTGAATGAATTATAAAAATGATAGCAGCATTTTTCCATCATGAAATGTACAGTGATTAATAGTCAAACATTTTTCATTTACGTAATTTCACTTGCTGATTTCTATTTAGATCATTTACAGGTGTCCTTTTTATGGTTTAACATCATGCTCTTTGCAGAGAAACATACTGCAATGGAAGACAATAGTTTATGGGAACTATATCATTTTTAGCTACTATAATTAAGGCTTATTACTTTAGCAAAATTACCGAAATCTGCTTGTGTGAGTGCCAGTATAATTCTATTCATATGTAGAAAACCCCAAATGGGAACTAGCTCCCTGGCAACGATGTGTTTTGAAAGTGTTTATGTTTTCCAGATATCTCACTGGTGTTGGATGCCAACTGGCAGTGTTTACAGTGTGTTTAAATACAGTTAGAGGAATTAGAAATGGCTTAAGTAAGGTCAAACAAAGAGGAAAAGCCTTGAGGGGGATATACCAATTGTCTGCAGTGAATGAAACAAAACACTGAGTTTAAAAGTTTGGGAAAACCCTCTTATGGCACCTATGATTGCTGCAAAGATTGTTTTAGGTTTAGAAAAATGACTCAGGATGATAATTTTCTTTTTTGGCCTTTGCTCACCCATCTATTCACAGGAATGTCTGTCTTGAGCAGACACAAGTCAGAGAGTTGCCCTGTCCTGGCCTGCTCTGTTCTGCCTGATAAAGCCTCTGCTTTCGGTGGAACATATGACTGATTCCTGCCTGGTGCAAGTGGAACAAATTACATCACTTACTCTGTGTATCTCTGTACCTACCCCACCCCCTCTGCATTGCTGTATTTTTGCTTTGTTCCCCTTTCATCCATCTTTTCCGTTCTGCATTGTGTTTTCCTGCTTGGCATACAGCTCTCTGTTTGTGTTATGGGTTTGCGTAGGGTTTTCGGGTGTTAGCATGATGGATCTGGGCAAGAAATGACTCGTCTAGTTTCAAACGGTCGATTCAAAGGTTGCCATTCTCATGGTAAGCATTAGTGTGAAATGTCAACAAAAAAACACCCAGTAGTTATCAAGGAAATTGTGTGTGCACTTTTTCCTCTTGGTTTTCCTACAAAGCGTAGTTTTCAAATGAAAGGGGAGAGTAATAGACCATGAAAAACACCTTTCACATCGGTTTTAAAATCTACCAACATGTGTTTTTAAAAACTCATTTGACCTGGGGCCAGCGATTCATGTTGGTACACATCTGTGCCTTGCTAGTTTATTTTGTTTGTTTGCAGGTTTAGCCATGGCATTTAAGAGATATGCATCTAAAAAATACAACGGACAGTTTGTCTATTCTTGCAACCGGGCCTTTTGAGTTTGGGAATTTCTGGGGCACTTTTAAATTGCTCTTACTGAAAAAAGGGGTCAAGCGGCTGGTATTGTCTCATGAATAGCAATTTAGAAGCTCAGACACACAAGCTCTTGTTTTTAACTCGTGTTCAAAATAGAAACTGTAAAAAAGCGGCTGATAGAAATGTTCAATTTGGGCTTCATTCTACTCACCAGATGGTTTGTTTGTGGTAGATGGGCTGTGAGTACCAACGGGCATCGTAGGAAGGGGTGGGAGAGACTTTTGGTCACTCTGGATCTCATTGCTGATTGGGTTGTTTATTCTTGGGAGGAGAGGTGGCTGGTAAGGCCTGTTGAGAGGTGGAGATGGTGGTGGAGGAGGCTGAGGTCGTGGTTGGGAGACAGGAACGTAACGGGGAGGGGGTCGGCTCTGGCACTGCTCCTCCAGCATGGCAATTAAAGCTGACTGGTTTGTGGCAAGGGAAGACAAATGCTGGTATTTGTGTTCAAGATCTTTGTAGCGGCTGGTGAGTTGCTGCATCTCAGAAGTTTGGTTAAGGATCCTGTTCTCCATTTGGGCTAATTCTAGAGCATTGTCTCTCTTCCTGATGATCTCATGGAGGAGCTGCATGTACAGCTGAGTTACCCTGGAGTTCATATTTCTACTCTCCTTTCGTAGGAGCTTGACCTCATTGACGATACCCCCATCCACCTCAACTAATTGCTGTAAAGTTTCGATCTGCCTCTTTTGTTTCTGGAGCTCCACATTCAGCAGTTCTAACTCTTGCTTGTGAACTCGATTCTCCATCATAGCCTCGGGTTCCTTGGAGTTCACACAGATGGCTCCAGTCACCTTTTGCTGAGGCACAATAAAAGTATAGGAACACTTGTCCTGTGGCTGTTCAGCTGGAGCACGTTTGCTTCTACCAGCATAGAAAAACTCTCTTTCCAAATCATCCTCGCTGCTCCCAAATTCCTGGGTCTTATGCTTGCCTTGGCTACTGTCAGACAGACTTGCTTGTGTCTGCTGGACTCTACAACTTAGTCCAAAAACCAGAAGTACCCCCAGCAGGACCATTGAAGGGGGCTCCATGTGTTTATGTCCGAATCACCAAAACCTGAAGATAATTGGTAGGAAAAGACCATTAACACAAATGTTAGTTTAAGACTGTAATACCACTATTAGTCCCACATGCTCTTATATTGAAAAGGTCTTGAATATTTTATACTAATTTACGATACCCTTTTAAAACCATGCCAGGTCCGAGCACGTTAACTGGCATAACTGTGAAGTGTAAATGGAATGCAACTGAACTGGACCGAGGCAGACACAACCGAATCACGCTAAATCTAGTACTAGTTCAACAGTGGCTCGGTTCTCTGATATTTGGTTCTATTTACCGTCAGCTGACTCAATTCGCTGGTTTTCTTGCGTGTCCGGCTTTGCAATTCACAGATCTCTTCACCTGTTCACAACAAAAACTACTTCTCAGCCTATTACCAATAAACCTGAGACCTGGGATGATGCCAATAACAAGGCCCTCTTTGAAATTTGGGAGGAGGATGCTATCCAGGCACATAAGTTCCTGAATGTTATGGGGGCCGCCATTTTTGTTTGCATAATTCCCACCTTGAGAGCTATAGTATCGTGGACCACCGATGGTGAAGATCAGTGCAAGCATGATATGTAAATGGTCATAAGAACCAAGCTCGGTCCAAACTCGGTTTCAGAGGGGTAGTGTAAATGTGGCATAAGCATAGACCACCTATAAACTTTTTTAAAGTGCCAACATTTTCCCTCATACTATTTTTGTTGTTTAAAAATATTTTTGTGTGATAATAAAAGAAACGCCAGCATGGAAAAGTAGATTGAATTTTCTGCAGCTTTATGGAGCGCAAACTAACAATGCTGGTTATACCACAAATGTGTAGGTCACTGCTAATCAGTCATTTCAAAAAATGTCTACTATAATTTTAGCATACTGCCAAAAATACTAATCTGTCATCTGGAGATAACTGTGGTCATTAAAACACAAAGAAATTACCTGACCGCAAATAACTTTGACTACAGTTTCAAAATTGAAATTATCAAGCTCTAAGCAATGTGTGTTAAGAAGTGGACTGCAGGCTAGTTACTGGAGCAGATAGCTCAACTAATTAACAAGCTAATATGAGCTTTTTATATTTGTTTTATAATTATTTTTTATAATTGAACAAGACCACATTCAAACACATCTAAAACTAAAAGCAAATAAGAATAAACCATATTACCTGTAATATTATTATAATAGAAAATATGCACCAGGAGGAATAATTATTGCCTTTTTGTTTTAGGTAAAAATAAGAAGTCAATTGTCTATTGTATATTTTTGTTTTGATGCTGTTAGATACTAAATTTTAGGTATTTTTTTCATGCTGAAAGAATATCATAGCAGCTCATAACTGTTTGAAATTAGTGAGAGTATTCATTGGTTTTCTTATTGAAAACACGTGTTTTTATGTCAAGATATGCCGATTTCTTTATTTTATTTTGACGAACATCCAAACACAGAAGCACTTTATACGAACATTTAAACTTCAGCAGGTTTCAGCACTCTGAAGATTTGGAAAACCAGAAACCACATAATCAGAGAGGAAATTACTCACATGTCCCATTGAGCTCAACAGTGGCTGCTTTGACTATCCATGTCATAACAGTCTTTTGGGACATACATGTTGGACAAGGCAGAAATGTTATTGTGCCTGCACTATTCTCATGTACAAGACCAAAAATGGAGTTTATTAAAAATATTTATCTTTGAGCCCGACATGTTTCGATAGGATCTCTGCTATCAAAAGCAACACCTGCTGTTTGAAAGAATAATATTTTTTCTACCAAACCATTTGTTGATCTCTTTTAATCAGATACATTGTTGTTAGGACAGTGCTTTGCTTAGAGCTGGCTCTGATTACCCCTGGAAACTGCTACAGGATGACCTTTCCACACAAATATTCATGTTTGTTCACAAGCCTGAAGATCTTTGCTTATGGAAAAGCTGAGACACCGTCGGATGATGCATTTCAACAGACGGTTTTAAATATCGATTGTGTTTCCTCAGTCAGGTCATCTGCCTCTTCCAAAAGAAAATACATTACGTGCTTGCATGGAAAAAAGATTCCAGTTATGTAAACATCGGGGAGAAAGGATTGTTTTATAACATGATTCCCACTGGACTTAATTTAATTACATTTTAGGGCTTGCCCTTTTGATGTCAGTCTTTTTAGAAGCAGGTTTTCCTTCTTACCGCCCCTACTGACACAACCCACAACTTTTAGAAAGATTATAGTCCAAACTACTTGAGTGTTTGGACTCAAACAGATGAGGGATGATTCTTATTGAAATGAGTAATTGGAGGATTTAATGATGACCAGGTCTTGACAGACATGAAAAAGGCCACAGACAAATGTAATTGCTGTGTAAGCAGAAGGAGTCATTGAAGCAACCTGAATGAAAGCTGCTGCATGTTGGAATATGCCACTTCTGAGTTCTGTACAACTCCAGAGTCACAAAGAGGCAATCTAATCATAGGGAAATAAGAAAAATGGCAGTGTGGTGACTGCAGGCGGATTTTCACGCCATTCAAATTGGTCTTCACTTTTAGAATATAACATTGCCCACAAAAAGTCAGAGATGTTTAGTTTTTGTTATCTAATATGCAGGCTTAAATCCAGGCTGAAATACATGGAGAAATGCTGCAAAAACGCGACCCTAGTGCAGAAAACGATTTATGTTCAATTCATTTGATTAGTGCAGAAAACTTAATCTAATTTGCAATATTTATCTAATCTTGCAATAAATTGATCCAGTTATTAAAAGCAGTAATAATATCCATTGAGTCAGACTCAAAAGATTATGTAAACTGATGTGTTTTAGAAAAAAATTCTAGACTTGGATATGTTTTGCTTAAGAAGATAGATGGTGTTAAGAGTAGAAACTTGTGAGTATCTCGTTTAATGAATTCATACCTGATTGGCAAGTTTGGTCAAAAGATTTGTATTAAACTTTGCTTCCTGTAAAAATCACTTTAATAGCAATGATAGTATTTCATAATTGACTTAAACATAGACTGAAACCTATTAATATTATGGTAACACCAAAGTGATATTATTAATTAAGCTTTTTTTAAACGACAAGCAGTTCAGCTTGATACATTCTCCGCAAGAAGTGGAAGGTTTTTTTCTAGCCCTCACAGCTGCAAGATTAAACTGGAGTGATTTTGTTCTTGCACAAAGCAGACGGCCCTTTACACCAAGCTTGGTTCTTCCTTTAAGCTGGTTTTCCTTGGATAGAAAAACCTTTAACCAATCTGACCGTATGATCTGATTGTCTCTGTAAAGTGCCTTAAATTGACATGTCCTGTGAACTGGCGCTATATAAATAAACTGAATTGAATTCATCTTTCCGAGAGGCTGCTCGCATAAAGGAGAGCATCAGTGGGACTAATTATTTCTTGCCATTTGTCACTAGGCTATTAAAATGTCATGTAGCTGTAATTCAAATTTTAAACTAAGCAATATTTTGGCATCACAGTGTTTAAAGCCTGAGTAATTGTTGAACTGCTGGCAAAGCCTGCACTCAGTGACATAATCTCTGCAAAGGCAATGCAATTGTAGCCACAGTTATAGTTGTAGTTATCCCTGAAATAGTTGCGTCGCTAACCAAATCAGTAATAGTAGCTTACAAATAATCCCGCACCAGGATAATAGAGCAGCACAGCTCTTGTTCCTTGTAATGTGTTGATGAGTGTGTTTGGCCAGTGCCTCTTGTGGTTTCTCCCCTGGAACATGAGTCTGTCTCTGAGTAAAGCCGTGTAATTTTCTTCTGCTGAGGAGGAGTCCCGTTTTAGACATTGTTAACGTGGAATCTCTTGCTATGGGTTTGACTACACTTCAAAGTTAGATGGGGGGGAACATGTTTGCAGCTTGTGATGAAATATGTGTTTGTAAGTATATGTGGCATGTTCATGTCTGCAAGCGTGTTTTCGAAAAACAACACTTGCTGGGCTTTGTCTCCTGGGGACGGAGAGAGTCCCATCTGTCCTGGCGGAGGCAGCCTGTTATTAACCTGTCTACCGCCTGCCGAAGGGAACAGCAGAAAGCCTTTACCTCCTTGTTTGCTGTTAACAACCTACGGCCTTTGATTGTCCCGGGATTGGTTTGCCTAAACAAGCTGCTATTGACCAGCCAGTAATTGCAGTGATTAGCTGGTGCTGAAGCATCACGCACCTCAGCTCTAGACACAGCTTCAGGACAAGTGTACAGCGAATAACTTATATCTGGAATGCAACTAGCAACCCAAACGTTGTTCGTTAAAGTCTGCTCCCAATCAAGATGTTTTGGTTAAACTGTCTTCAGGTGAAAAGTCTGTGTTTACACCACTCCTCGCGTTTCATTTTAGATGCGGCTGGCACAGGGGGTGGGTCGTCGCCTCTCTGATCAGCCGCCTGCTCAAGCCTTTTTGGTCATGCTCAGCACATATTAATTAGAAGGTGGGCAGCTCCGCTCGGCCTGGCTCATATCTCTCACCCCAGCCCCTCTCATTTAAGCCTGAACATGGCATTCCTCACATTCTTCATCACCTCATTAGAGTGAGCTGCCATGCTCATACGGAGAGTTAGTGGCAGTGGTAGACGGACCCTCTACAACCTCTCCAATCCGTGCCATACCTATAAGACATTTCAACTGACCTAGTTCAGTCCCAGTGTCCTACTTTCTGTATGAATGCTTCATAATCACATCATCATCAACACGATATGACTCATTCGTCAGAAGCTGAAAAGACAAGGACACTGCACTTATTGGGCACTACAAGTGAGTGCCAGCTCTGGAGAGAGGGGTCTCCTGCATGATACCCAATAATCGTTTATTCAGAGTTAAACTTGAGTAGGGTTTAAGCAATCTGTGCTATTATTTTACCTGGACAGTAACTCTTCATAATGAAATCAAACCACCTGCTCCATTTGTTACACATAGACACTTCAGCCCCCTCTCTCTCATTCTGCCTGAATGCAATCTTCTGTGCCTTAGGTCTAATCAGAGAGTTGGAAGCCCAGGGTCTTTGGGAACAGTTTCGATAAGTTCCACCATTGTACCTCAAAGCGCCTTTATCCAAACACTTCTCTGGCAACAGAAACAAAGAGGTGATTCAGCTGCCTACTTCTCTATCCTTCTGCCTGCAGGGGAACATCCTGAAGCGGTGAATGCTTGCCATTGGAACCTTATCTTTTTTTCAACTTATTGGAATAAATCATCTATTGTTTTTTATGTTTTTCTTTCCTGTAAACTAGACATTATAAATCTCTTTGTTGATTTTTTTTTTTTACAAGCATATTTGCAAAACTACATCATTCCAGAGAGGATATCTCACCAACCCATGCTTTCAGTTAGACAGTCAAGTTTTAACCAACATTATTCAAGTTATTCTGGGTTTACCGGAATAAGCTCATAACAGTGAGTAAGATAACAAACGCTGCATTACTGCCGGTGAGTTGAGTCCATTTCAATGTGTGAATTTCAGCCAAGGTGTGACTTCATGTAGTTTTAGAAGATGGGAATCATGAGACCACTTTTTTCTATTATTCTAACGCATCAGCTGCAAGAAGATCATCTTTTTTTTCCTATGAGATCACCTGTTACAAGTGTGGTCAATTTTCTGTTGCCACATTTGAAATAAATCCAACTAATAAGAAACAAATAAAGAATATAAATGCTTACAAGACAGCTGCACGGTGTTGAGGAAGCTCTTAGCTGCTTTGTCTTTCTGCGAGAGTTCTGAGAAGATTCACTTGGTAGAAATTCATCCCAGTTCAGAAAGTTTCGCTCATGGGCCGTCTCTTTTTTTTTTTTTTTCTTCTCTGTCCCGGTCCAGCTGCTCAGCTATTATCACCTTAGTCCATTCCAACTTTCTTCTTAAAATACTTGCATTTGCCCAGCAGTAGCCCAATCTCCAAGAAACTGTTTGGCAAACATTGAATAAACTGTTCAAAAATCCCAGTGAAAAGTTTGTTGTCTGAGAAAAAAAAAGACAATGAGTACCTTTAGTTTGATGCTGGTGGTTATTTTCCTGCCAAACAGTGAGAGTCCAGAGCAGGATGTGTTCTGCTTGTGGCCGGTTAGGAGAAGACTGTCACTTTTCCGTGGACTGAATCCATCACTTCTGCCTCATAGCTTCAAGAGGCCGTCTCTCTCCGCTGCACCTCTCTCACTCCTTCCCTCCTTGGTTCTTTTAAATGATGAAAAATACTCAAGCAGTGCTTCACCCGGGCAAAGCCTGGAACCCCCCCCTCCAAAATGAACACATTCTTGTTTAAAGCAGCAGCCAGTTTTCTCCACCCCTCCTCCCCATGGTACAAAGGAGATCCACAAGCAAGCACAACACAAGTTATTCAGACACACACTCTACTCAAATTTCCAGCCCCCTGCCCCCTTGCCACTGGTCGATCATCACTACTATTTCTGTCGAGGTTGCTGTGGTTAAAGGCACATGTGTCATTGCAATGACCAGACCCTCACTGGGTGCATTGCCCACTTGTCCGGAGAGGACTCATTGGCTGGAAGCAGAGCCAGGTGTTAAGATCTGGTCTGGTTCTGTGACTGCTGACCTGGGTTTTATAGCCTGGAGGTGAGATGTTTGAAACAGGCTACTTGTCTTCACGTTGAAGTGAAACTTCCAAGGGAATGATTACATCATTACTCTGAAAGCAGGACTGCACACTTGTGTCCATGTGTTTTGGTGGATATGAGGATATGAAACACGTCAGTGGAGTGTTGTCAGTTATGCCAGCAATCTCCAAATTTCTCACGCTATGCTTTGGCTTTTGGTTTTCTTGTCTGTTTGTCCTATTTAGTCTGTTTTTAATAAGATTTCTTTCCCCTTTTTTTTCCTGCCTTAACAGCTATGTTGGTGCACATCCTGCTTCTCTCAGGATCATCTATCATTTTGCTGTTTTCCTCTTGTTGTATTGTTGTCTTAAGCACGTTTTTTCATGTGTGTGTAGGAGTCATAAATACTTCAGAAGCAAAATTACAGAGGAATTATAACAACTTCAAAAATAAGTTTTTAATTATTCCTAGCTGCTTCTCTGAAATTAAATTGCTTCACTTTAGCCTGCAGAAGCAACCAATGGGCAGCTTGATGCTTGCTTTTTAGTTTCTTTTATGTTTTATTTAATGTTCCGATGAATAAATAAAAGGTTTAACCGTGCCACACCCTGAAGGGTTTTGTCACGTTCCAAATTATTACTCAGCTTTCACTAAATTATTGTGCAAACATCAGCTCCAGTGTTTTATTGTGGCTTTGTGATGAATAAAATGCAGCATTATATTTCAGGGCTTGTTTTAGAAGTCACAGGATGCGTGATTCTTCCTTACAGGGTATAAACAGTAAATAAGTTACAGATGTCGAATTTTATGTCTTCTTCCATAAAGTTAAACTCTAAGTGGTTGGTTGCTTATAAAAGACAAAGAGGAAGTACTTAGTTGTGTTTGCATTACACCATTTCTGCTTAGAAGATTGATATCAGGTACTTTAATTCATAGTTTGTGTCCTTTTTCTTTGAATTAAAGGGATGAAACGGCTTACGAATGCCAAGCTGGTGTCTTGCAGCTGGTGCTCATGCAAACAGGGAATTGTGCCAATTGCTCATGTCTTATTATTTCAGAAAATTATGCCTTCTCCAAAGATGTCATGTGTAATTGTTGTACCTTTGTTCTAGAGCTTATGATAAATATGAGAAAATTACCAAAAATGAAGCATTACATTGAAGAAGTTCTTATGTTTTGTTTAGCAGCTCAGTGCAGTTTGTGTAACGTAGAAAGAACCTCCTGTTATTAATTCATATAGCTGTGATATTTTTATAGATATCGCAGACAATAAGACCAAGTATTGACAGAAATTCTGTGCAGTACTTACTGTTTTTATGATATAGACTCATGAAACAAATATGTTAAGAAAAGGAAAATCTTCTCTCATCTAACATAAAAAGAATTGGACATCATGTATTTTAATCAACATTATTGTAATTAAGATACTGTTAAGATATGTTTACTAATAAATAGTTTGTATAATATATAATATTGGTGCAAAAGATCATTAAGTCATGTATGTGGATGTGTGGACTTGTTTTTGTTACCTTGTGGGTACAATGTAAGGCTAATTTTTGTTAAATATGCTGCATTTGGTTGACCTACACGTCCCTTGAAAAGAAGTTCTTCTCTTGTGTTTTAGGTTAGGTTTAGGTATTTGTTGATAATGGTTAGGTGCAGGGTAAGGGCCAGGGTAGACCATGTGAACAGAATTCAAAGACAAGCCTTAAAACATGAAAACCAAACATGGGTGTGTGCTAGTGTTTTTTTTTTTTTCTTTCTTCATCCAAAGAAAGTAAGTCTCTCAGTTTAGTCCTGGATCTTTATGGCCCTTTGGATTCGATGCATCTGTAGATCTTTTGTAGGTGTGGGATTGGTGAGCCAGCGGTTTACCAAGCAGTTTTAATCATCTGCTGTTCATTTGCGGAGTCTGAAAATTATCATAAATTAAACAATTTTCTTAAAGGCTTTATTTTATTAATATATGTATGCATGTACTTATACCGTCTAAATGATCATTTATGTATATGCATAATATATATATTAGATCAAATGAACTCACAGTTGTTTTTTGTCAGTCCCAAATTCCATACTAGACTCATAGATAACCTACAGAGTCACAACTTTGCCCTCTACCCAATAGTACTCAAAAGCTAGTTCTAAAAAGAACATTCATTTTGTTTCTGTCATTTTTATTATTAGGAAATCAATGTGAAATTATTAATTACTGTATTTCAAATTTTTGTTTATGGTTTATATACCGGTAATAACAAATAAAATGGCAAATAAAAAAAGGCTTTCAGAACCAGTTATGGGATAGTTTTGTTATTCATAGTGTGGAAAAGAAGACTAAAATCACTTTAATGAGAAAATAGCTGCACAAGCTTTATATAACTACTAACTACCAAAAAAAATCAGGAAAATCTGCTAAATAAGCTTCCTAATCCAGACATCATTCTCAGTAACACTTTAAATGTCTTCCTTTTGAAATCCTACCAATTTCAGGGCAGATTAATATATTGTCCATCCAGTATATTCTAGATCGGCCCTGGGGTTTCATCCTATTGAGGCATAACCAGAAAACCTCTAAAGCGGGATATGAAAAAAGCATCTCGGTCAGATAGCTCAACCACTTTAACTGAATGCTTTTGAGATGGAGGGGAGGTTTCTCCTTTTAGAGCTCTCTGCAGATGACTGGCCACCACAGTGTGTCTCTCAGACTTAGAGGAGCTGTCTTTTTGGTTTTGGCTGCAAACAGCTCTGAATGGACAAAATGTGTTTATACAAATGTGCTCATAAAAAACATAAGTGTTGTCCAGACAATTTTTACATAAAGAATACCAAAAAAGTTCCAGTCTTTTTTTAACGGCTGTTTTCTTTTTTCTTTATTCCATGTGGACTGGCTCTCTTAGTTATTTAAAATGATTTCGATTTTTTCTTTCGTTTGTTTGTTTATCTTTACCCTCTGGATGGAGAGTATAACTAACCTCATAGAACAAAATTCCAAGTTGATTACCTTGGATCAAAAATGATATTCGTTGCATTTAAAATTGGGCAAAACTGAAGGAGTTGCTCATTGAACAGACTAATCCTTTTGGTTCGTTTTTGATCAAAGAAAATAGGATTAAGTTCAGGCTCTGTTGTATGTTTGAAGATTAGTGGGTACAGCATTAAGGCCCATCCTAGACCGCATTGTTGATGCAGTGATTAGTTCTGTTACTCTTGTTTAATCCTTAGCAGAGGAGGAAACTATCACAGAGATGTGAAAAGGAAAATGTCACTGCCTTAATGAAATGGTAATCCGCTGGTGTATATAGGGGGAAGATTGTAGGAATCAGCTTCTGGTTGGAAATGGTTTGCAGATGAGTTACTATTGCATTAAAAACCTGATTGCTTGCCTGGTAGAATGCTTGGTTTAGATCAAATATTACAAGCACATTATATGTGGTTTAATATGTTCACTATAAATGTCAGTTTGAGTGAAATCCTTGCTCAGCTTGGAGTCGTAACGTGTTTTTTGTAATCTTGTGAAATCTAATTGCTTTTGTCCAGCAGCTTGCAAAACAAGCTCAGAGCGACAGAGTGAAACGGAAAATGAAATGGTGGTCCTGCAAAAAATCCAAGAGTTGTATAAGATGGAGCTTTTTCAACCTGCCGCATCCATTTGATATTTATACAATGTTCCAGATATTAAAATGTAAGATGGCAATTTTCAAAGTACCTTAAAAAATATTTATATTTTTTTTCAAAACTGGGGTTGTACAAAAAGGACATTTGCAAATCTTGATACCATTTTAAACTTATACCCATGAAAAATATGACGTGTTAAGAACAGATAAAGAACATGAAAAATCATTTCCATTCTGAGAAAAGAAGAACTTAAAAGGGAACACAATTTATTTTGAATCTGGTTATAATTTTCAATCGTAAACTGACCATTTTTGCAGGCATAGTTTAATGATGACGGGGAGGGTAGTTTCTGATTAGCAATAAAATATGTCAAATTAAATTTATGATACATAAAGTGATACCATGTCCATGTATCCAATAAACAGAGATTTTATTTATCTTCACTTCATGAGTTTGAAAAAATCTGTTTTCTTACCAGAAATGTTTATAGTAGGTGAATAAAGGAGTAAACATAGACTCAAAAGTTTATTATGATGAAGACCAGAACTTCCTGTCATATGGGGAAAAACTAAAAAAACACCTTAAAATGATTTAAATACTTAAACAGAACTGAAAAAATTAAATGTGTTCAAAAAAATCAATAGAAAATTTAAAAAAGGGGTAACTGAGATGTATTTGATGCAACATGTCATGTAAATTAATTTTACATCATTTTATTTTTAATATACATTCCTGGTTTTCATTGCATTTCATTCTTTTCACTCCCATTTCTTTGTTTGTGTGCATTGTGTGGTTTTGTATTGTTTTATTGCAAAAAACTATTAAAGTGTAGTGTGAACTGTGTTGCATAAACATCTTGCTGTGTGGTTTCTTGCTCCAAATTCTGCCAGGTGTAGAATAACAGATAAGGAAAGTTTCCGTTACAACCCTATGCCACTGTGTAAACTCCAATAGTCTGTTCAAATAGTTGCTAACAGATTTTTGTTTTGCTTTTTGCTTTGATGCTGAAGAAAAAGATCTGTTTTTTTTCTATAACATCTGGAAAATAA